GCCTTCTGCTTGCTGTGCAGGGTGTGGAGGGGAGGGGGACAGGTCTGCCCTGCCCCCACTTCTGTACCTGATCTCCACACACAGAGACGGGGGTGGAGGGAGCTCGGCAGTGCAGATCTCTGTCGCCCACACACTGTCTGTCCATCTGGCCAGCACGTCCACGGGGAGGGTGCGTCTCTGGCTGCTTGCAGAGGGCTATCTGGGGGCTAACTGCTCGGTGCGTTTCAGCATCTGCATTTCTCTTACACTTCCGTTTCATTCTTTGAGCAGTGAGTTCTCAAATGCCAAACCTGGCGTGGCTGCATGAATTCTCCCTGTGCTAACTGCTGCTCCTGGAGGCTGCCACGTCCCTGCTGCTCCTGGAAAGGCAGAGCAGGGGGGCTCCACATGCGGTCCCTGCCTGCAGACACCGCTCCTGCAGCTCCCATTGATCAGTAATGGGGAACCATGGCCAGTGGATGAGGGGCAGCACATGGCACCATGGAGCCATTGCTGCACATGCCATCTGCTTTCATCAGTGGTGCCGGGCCAGGGCTGGAGTGAGCTGCCTTAACCCCACTGCTCCAGCACCCGGAAGCCATCTCAGCTAAGTGGTGCCCTGCCAGAGCCTGCTTCCTGAACCCCTGTCCCAGCCCTGAACCCCCTCCTGCCCCCAACCTCCTGCCCCAGAGGTGAGTCCCTCTGCACCCAAACTCCTTCCCAGAGCTTGCACCGTGACACCCCTCCTGGACCCCAATCCACCACCCTGGGCTAAGCCTGGAGCCCCTCCCACACTCTGAACCCTTTGGCCCAAGACCAGAGCCTGCACCCCAATCCCCTACCCCAGCCTGGTGAAACTGAATGAGGCTCGGGGAGGAAGTGAGCAGGGTGAGGCCTCAGAGAAGGGGTGGGAAGGAAGCAGGACAAGGGTATTTGGCCTTGGGGTAGATCTTCCATTGCACTTAAACTGAAAAAAGGGATCGTGTGGTTAGAAAGGTTGGAGACCCTGGTTTAACGATGCCACTTACAAGTAGGGATGTCACAGTGCAGTCGATGAACCAACTAACCAATAAGCAAAAGCTCATAGGTTAATGCCTAATAGATCACACACATTTCCCCCTACCCCTTGCCAGTAATTGTGTTAGCAGGCTGGCCAGCAGCCTGGCTCAGGCCTGGCTTGCACTGGGTCCAGCTCAGCCCCTGCTCTCCAGACTGGGGCTGCTACCACCCTGCGCTGCTGCCTTTGTATCACAGAGCCACAGGCAACTTGTCCACAAGGGGAGCCGCTTTTTAAATTGGCTCCCCTGGTGGACTCGCTCCCGTCTGGCAACCCGCATTGCTGCCTCTGCGAAGTGGCAGGGGGCTCCTTGGGAGTGGGGCCAGAGAGCACTTGCTGCCAGCCCCACCCCAGGGACTACAGACTAGCCGGGTAACCGAGGTTAACTCACGAGGTTAATCGACTATTCAATTAACCGATATTTAACATCCCTATTTACAATGTGGCTGAGATCTGCCCAGAGCAGCTGAGGCCAGGTGGGAGAGAATCAGAGCCATCATTTGAGCCTGAGGATGCAAAAAAAAAAGTCTCTTTTATCTCCTGGGCTGGACAACATCTCCCATGGTGCACCGTGGGTCCCCTCTGGGCGAGAGGAGGCAGAGGCTCAAGGGAGATCAAAGCCAGCTGAGGAGTCCTGCTTCCGCGGGAGCAAGGCCTGGCTGTGATGGGATGTGCTTAGGGGAAACCAACCCTGACGAGATCTTCGGTCCCCACTGGGGGCCCCTTCAGGGACAGCCGGGGAGGGGAAGAGTTTCCCGGTCGGACCCTTCTCCAGAATTGGCTGGAGGCCTCTGTCTTTGAGGCTGCCCACTGGGGTCTGGCATCGGCACTAAATTGGGTTCAAATACTTTTGCAAGGGGGGGAATGTAGCTTCCGCCAGAGAGCCGCAGCCCTGTTGCTGCAGGGCCTACACACTCAGCCCTGCAGAGGTGGAGCCCTGGGCCCCCCGAGAAGAGCTGGCCACTTGACTCAACGTTCCCTTCGCATCCGGGAGACCTTTGCCCTTCTAGGAAGTCCAAGGCTGCCAGACGGGCCGACTACCAGCAGGGAACTCCCCTGTGCAGCCAAGAGCGGAGCCCCTTGCCAGGCAGCCGTGACACCCTCTTTCTCCTGGGAGCCCCTATGCCCAGTGACGATCCTGTCCCATCCCCCATGGAGGGAGAGCAGAGTGTAGGCAGGGAGTGGAGAGGGGAGATCACAGGGGCCGGCTACCCAGGAGCACAGCCTGCTCCTTCCCTCCTGGTGATCCACACAGCCTCGGGGAGGACGCTGGGAACCCAGCAGGAAGCATGCTGGGATAGGGAACAACCCACAATAAGGGGGGTCCTTAGTGTCTCTGTGCTGGCTGTAGGGATGCAAAGGTACCAGTCCCATGCCTGCTCCTCCTGTGCTGCGGCTCCCGGGCCGGCTACCCAGGAGCACAGCCTGCTCCTTCCCTCCTGGTGATCCACACAGCCTCGGGGAGGACGCTGGGAACCCAGCAGGAAGCATGCTGGGATAGGGAACAACCCACAATAAGGGGGGTCCTTAGTGTCTCTGTGCTGGCTGTAGGGATGCAAAGGTACCAGTCCCATGCCTGCTCCTCCTGTGCTGCGGCTCCCCTGTCCTGTGCCCGGGGGGGGGGGGGCAGAGGTTGGAGCCATAGGCCCTGCTATCTGCCCAGATAGGGGCTTTATCTTATCAGCCCTGGAAGGAGGGTCCAAGGCTCCCAACAGCTCCTCCAAGGACTTTAGCCCCCTTGCCAAACAGCTGTGCAGGCAGGGCTCAGCCGGGAGGGAGGCCGCCCCATGGGAGGAAGAGGATGGGAGCTCTGGCCCAGTCCCTTTCCCTCCCGGGCCAGCATGGAGCAAGGCCAGAAGGCCCCTGGAGGAGCCAGGCAGAGGAGGAGAGAGGGCCAAGGGCAGGAGGAAGAGGAGCAGGCTCCTGGGCTGAATGGTGAGGAGCAGGAGTGGGGGAGATAGGAAGGAGAGGGATAGAGGGGATAGAGAGGAGGCCTTCTGGGGCAGGGCAGGAGGAGAGAGGGCCAAGGGCAGGAGGAAGAGGAAGCAGCTCCTGGGCTGAATGGTGAGGAGCAGGAGTGGGGGAGATAGGAAGGAGAGGGATAGAGGGGATAGAGAGGAGGCCTACGGGGGCAGGGCTGGAACTGGAGAGTCCTGGGATGGGGCTAATATTGGGAACTGGGGTTGGGGATTGGGTGGAGTGGGGCTCTGGAAACAGGAGGGTGGCACTGGGGGGGGGGCTGGTAGGGG